CCCAGGACTCCTGCCCCCCTCCCTATCTCCTCACAGGTGCTACGGCATCTCTGCTGGGCACGTTGCTCTTCCGGCGGGTGCGCCAGAGCAAACCCACCCACCACGCATGTTTACTGGAGATGGGTGGAGGCAAAGTCTAGCCCCCCAGCTGGTGTCTCGGGCTGACAGCTGGCCCATAACCTCCATGCAGAGCTGGTCCACCTCCAGCAGTATTCCACAGATCTGGACAACCTCGTCCTACAACTCACGTGGAGGAGCATGAGGGCAAAGGTCGACAGGCCACATCTGGAAACACCTTACGCTGCTGCATGTCAATGACGTGTCACAGCCATGGCCATTAGGAAGGTCTGGGACCAGCCTAGCGTAGATGACAGGGCAGAGGGAGTAGCAGAGGCCCCGAGTGCTGGCCCATGTGCAAAGGCAGCCTGACCCGCATGGTGGGGTGGCTGCTGGGGACCCAGTGTTTGCATGTCGCTGTGCCATGCCACACACGATTATGTTCCAGGTGGATCAAAGGCTTCTCTTTGTGAGATAAAACCTGACAAATTTCAGAAGAAAACATAAGAGGAGATGTTTATGACCACTGAGCAGCAAAGGATCTTTAAGTAAGTTAAGTACAGACATAAGAAGGAGACGACTGATACATGTGACTATGGCACAAAAGGAACCATAAGCAAAGGGAGTTGTGAGCGCAGCTGGGGTACGATGTCGGTGCACAGGCCAAGATGGACCAACCTTGCTGCAGAGGGAGCAGGAGGCTGCGGGCAGGGGGTGCATTCTACAGGTGAATGTTGAGCTGCCGCTGCTTGGCATGGGCCCAGCAGGCAGCCAGGCACCTGCTGGACAGTTAGTGCTGCCCCCCTCAAGAGGGATGGGAAGGGGAGGCTGGCATGGACCAGATGGAGGAGGCAGGAGCGGGAGCCGGACATTCTTCATCCTGCCATTGTTATCCCTTGGCAGGCTGGACCCTCTCCCCAGAGGTTGGCATGAGCCAGAACAGTCGGGGGGAGAGGGTCCCACTGGGATGCCTGTGTTCCTCCCTTTCCCCTGCAGAGATGCCCAATATCCTGTGTAGCCAGGAACAGCCACAAAATATAGATTTTGCCAATGAGACAGAGGCAGGGGCAACTGCAGGGCTTCTAGACAGCACCTGCTTTCTTGATGTAGGACACAACCACAGGTATGACCCAGCCTCCCCCCTTTCCCTGCCTTAAATGTGATATTGGGTCTGGGGGCTCAGCAGCCACCTCATTAACACAGGTAGAGGCTGTGGGAACAGCCATGGGGATGGGACTGTGGCACCGCCAGTACCTGCCCGGCCCCCAGAGTGCCCACCACGGCTCCCACAGTGCCCATGCCCCCAGAGTGATCCTGGGCTGCAAACAGAGTAACACTGGAGGCTGCAGTGACTGTCCATCTAGGTATCTACTCCTTGAGGCCGATGAATCCCAACTCAATCGCAAGGCCCCTTTAACCTTTGTCACTGCTGAGATGCAAACACTAATGTGCCCCTGAGCCCAGGACGGTCTAGAGTTCAGGATGCCCAGGGTCACATGCTGTAGTCCTGGGGCTACATTCAAGCCCAGGCCCAAGGGCCCTGGAGTCCTGGCTGGGTCCTAGGCACAGTGCGCCTTTGGTGCTGCCCCTGGGTGCACAGTTGAGGAGCAGGGCTGTGAGCGCAGCCAGGGAAGGAGGCCAGTGCCTTTCAGCACACCCAGCTAGCAGACGGACAGTCTCGGACAGGCAGGGCCAATGCTCAGCCTCGGGGACAGGGCCACCTGGGCTCAGCTTCCATGCTCTCTCCCTGAGCCGGACTTCTCAATTTGGCAGGCTCTTCTGCCTCCACTGCCTCCTTTCTCTTCCTTACCACGAGCTCCTGGTGGGTCTCTAAGGATGCTCATCATCTGGTTTCCTCTGCTGGCTGGTTTCTAAGACCCCACCCCACCTACTGTGGGGACACTGACCCTGTCTGATAATCCCTCTCCTGACCCCTGGCTGCCATCAGACCAGACCCCAGAAGGGGATGTTGTTTGCTCATGCCACCTGCCCAGCAGAGGTTGGACCATGGGGTTCAACTAAAGTCCCGAGGATGCTCAGCTCTTAGAATCACCTGTCTACTTACTTGCTTGGGTCCAAAGCTCGTAAAATCACCAGTCTACCTGCCCAGGCCCAAGGCTCCTAGATTCACCTGTCTACCTGCCTGGGCAGCAAACAAGCCTATATATGGTGAACAAGTCCAAGTGGAAGAGAGTCTGCAAAAGTCATTTTGGCTGTCAGAGGAGTTGCTTGAGGGAGACCTTTGATGCCTCCCAGAGTGGATGCAGAGACCCCTGGGGATCTTAAAAGGAGCTCCTTTCACCTTTTTGTAGCAGAAATGGGCTGGGGCAAGGAGGCAGTGCATGCAGGGTGGAGGGGGTGAGAGTGCTGGCATCTAAGTGGGTGACCTCCCCTCTCATTGAGGCCCAGAGAAGGCCACTGGGGAGGTGCTAGTCGGACTTAGCCCTCCCAAGCAAGCGCTCACTGGCAGCAGCTCCCCAGCTTATGCCAGAATCCACATGGTAGGAGGGGCTGGCCAGGGAAAGGGTTAAGTTTAATTTATCCTGATTTCTATTTAATATCATGCTCTCCCTGTAGGAGCCGGCAGCTGTGAGCTGATCGCATGCTCTCATTATGCAGTCTGTAGCACTAATGGCCTGTGACAAAGACGTGCAGCTTCTAGGCCTTGCCCCTGAGAGCCAATTAAACACACATACTCCCTTCCTGTTTGCAGCACATTACAATAAAATTAAACTGAATTTCAAAATCATTTTCTCCTAAAGACATCTCTTTACAATAATTAATGCATGTTATTCCTCTTCAACTGAAATGCTCATCAGGAACGGAGACTAAAAACGCTTTAACACTGCCTGCCCCGCAGCCCACACTGTTGTGCCTGGCACCTCGGCAAGCCTGCCATTGGCAAAACCCATAGGGTTTTGGTTCCATGCTTTTAAAGAAAACAAAATCTGCAGCTTTTTATCTGAATTTTTTTAAAAAAGAAGATGGTCACAAAGCAAGTCAGGTTTCCAAATCCAGACAATCTAGAGGGCTGTTGAGGAACATACTAGAAGCAAGATCAGCTCAGAAGCGTGCTTCTGAGATACTGCTCGTGAGGGACAATTAACAATAAAGAGAGGTTTGTTTTCACCAGATCATTTACGTTAATGGGGATGTTAAAAAGGGGTATGCCAGGCAGGCGTGCGTTGACTTGCTAACTGCATCCATCAGAAAGAGACGGGTGTCACCTGAGCTCTAGGATGCAGCACCCAGCCCACTGCCGACACCCGGCCCGTGGAGGTGCCTGGCCCTCTGCTGATGCCTAGTCCTCTGCTGGCGCCTGGCCTGCAGAGATGCCTGGCCCATGGAGGTGCCCTGCAGCTCCTGGGTGCTGGCCTCTGTTCTGGGGGCTCATAGGACATCCACTCTGCAGACCTCCAGAATGCCCACCACACTGCCCAGCGTGGGGTGATCTGGGTGCTGGAAAGCGAGTCTGTGGTGCTTCCTTGTCACCTTCCCTCCTGCCCATGGTACGGGAATGCTCCTGACCATAGCCGCTAGGAGGAAAGGAATGAGAGAGAGGGCCACGGAGGGCTCTGGGCTCAGGGAGGACGAGTGACAGCCATGACCAGCGGTGGGGAGGCAGAAGGAGCCGCTGGATGCCCCTCACCTCAAGGCCCCAGCTGATGGGGGCTCACAAGTTTCCGGGCGGCTGTGGGGTCTCCACCAGGCAGCCTGCTCTGTCATTCTGTGACCTCAGCCTGCAGTGGCAGCAGATTCCCAGGCTGCAGGCTGGACACACGACTGTGCCCACCCACAGATCCACAGTGACCAGCCGCTAAGACTGCACACGCCTTGTGAGGCTCTGCGTCACAGCAGCAGACACTTCAAGGGCCATGGGGCTTCCAGGATAAGAGCCAGGTTGTAGCGAGGCCACAGTCACTCCGTCTGCTTTCCTAACACCCCCCTCAGATATGCAGGAACCACCAGGGTGCCCCCCACGCTGCCTCCTGCTCAGCTCTGCTCCCTGCGAAGATGCATGCAGTGAGCACATTTCTGCCTACGGCCAGTGTGTTCTGACATGTGAAAACAGGTCTTTCTCTGGAAAATATTACCTCAAGATTATTATAAAATAATGCATGTTCGGCATAAAAATTTTAGAAATATAGGTAGGCAAAAAGAAAAAGAACCACCACCCAGAAGTGCACCATCTGGATATCAGGAACTGGCATTCTGGAGTGTGTCCCTCCAGATCAGAACACGCACCAGTGACTGGACGTGGCTGCACAACTAAACATTCCCATTGTCACCATGTCATCTGGCAGAGTAAGGATCCTGGGACCCCGCTAGCTCCTCACACAGAAGGTGGGGGACAGGCGGGCAGGTAGCTGCTTGAGCAGGTTTTGGGCATGTGTCTCAGAAGAAAAAGGTGAGGTGGCAGATGGGGGGCCACCAGTGCATTCCAGGGCTGCGACCGTCTTCCCTACCACTGACAGGATGCCTGGCTGACAGGCTCCTGCTGCCCCAAGGCCTGCTCCACCACAGAGAACAGACTAGCTTGTGGAATAATGTGACCTCATGACCACACCACAATCGTATCATACCAAGAGGACTTCTGACCTTGAGTCGGGGAGGGAGGGCGGGCAGGAGCGGGAGAGTGCCTGCGTGTGAGTGCAGTGGTGTGCGGGAGGGGAAGGAGTAGCGGGACTACCAGAAGGAACAGCATGGGAGCCTCGTCATGAGGCCTGAGGGCTCCTGGTCCCTCTGAGGCATAAGCCTAAGGAGCCTTCTCCTAGAGGCCAGTGGGAGGCTGGCACTCAGTGAGCACAGTGTGGAACAGAGGCCCCCACCTCACCCTCTCTGTCTGTGGTGAAGGGTCCTCAGAACACTGAGGCTGGCTGGCGAGTCCCGCTCCTGCCCTGTCCCTTCAGGGTCCCCTCCGTTCCTGCAGAGCTGGGTCCTACCTGTTTTAAACCAGCCATCCGAGGTGAAAGCATTTTTAGTTTCTTCTGGTTTATCCCAATATTCTCGAAACACGGAGGATCCCCTGACCAGCAGCTCCCCCTCCTTCTCTTCGAACCCTGGGGTCACCTGTACAAGATGGGAGAGAAATGTGTGGTCAGAGCTGGTCACACAGCTCTCAGCATCGGGGTCTCCACCTGCACTCCTGTGCTCCCCATGTGGGAGCTCTTTGCAGGCTGCTCCCTGCCCATCCTGAGGGCCATACGCTTTCTGAAACTAGACATTGCTGGAAGCATTTGAGAAGTGCAGCTCTTAATGGGAAGAACCCAGTTGTGCAGTAACAAGCCCTCCTCCAGGGTCCTGGCACCACCCCTGGGTGCCCTGGGCTGGGAGCTGCACATCACCTTGTTAATCCCCAAACAGCCACATAACGCAGGGCTTCCGCTCTGTCCTCTAGACTCAGAAAAGTTGTTGGCTCAGGTCTCAGAGCCCAGGGCCTGGTGGGATTTGAGCCCACTGTCCATTTCTAAAAGCTGTTTCCAAAACCCATCTTCCGGGTGTTTCTCAGACACACTAAGGAACATGGGAGTGGCAGCTGCCCAGGCCCTTGCCATCATGCCTGGAGCAGCTCAGAGTTGGCAGCAGCCTTTGTAGGGCCTTGCAAATCGATCTTTCACTTGGAGCAACCAAATGAAAGAAGGAGGGCTCCATGATGAGGAAATGGGCTCAAGAGAGTTCATAGGTGACCAGAACAAACTCCCAGGAGTGTACATGGTCACAGGAAGCAGGGAATGTCAGCAATTCCCTACTGTGGCCATGGGGAGTGGTGAGGGTGAGGCTGGGCTTCATGCAACACCAGGAGCAGAAACCGTGAGCAGATGATAAGGTCCCATGAAGACACAGCTGAGCCCCCTGCTCACAGATATGGGAGGAAGGAGAGAAGAGCAGACAAGGAGCCGGGGCTGCAGGTGCACTCCTCTGGGGAGAGTCACTAGCTCTGTGACTGCTTCCCCTGTTGAGCTTTATGAATGATTCACTGTGAACCTCACTGTGAACCGGGAGAGCAAATGACATTAGGCCTCAGGCTCATCAACCGCCATTTAGAATGTACCTTTTTTTGGAGGAAGAATCTTTCCTCTCCTGTTTTTAAAAACAGGGAATTTTTGAAACAGGCTATAAAACAGTACAGCTCATTTACATGATGCTGGAAAAGAGAGTTGAAACCCCCCAGGGCCAACGCAGCACATGGAGGGCGATGGCCTTGTTCCATGGCAGCCTCCCAGGAGGGGGCGAGGCCACCTGCAGGGAGATAAAACACCTCCTGCAGACACAGGCGGCTGGGCTTCACACTCAGCGCCCTGCCTGACTCCTGCCCTCTTGCCACCTTGGAGGAGGTGTATGTTCATGTTTTCAAACTAAACCACAGATTTTATGTGAACGTCACTGATTTTTCCACTGCTGTCCTTTATCTGTCCACTGCTAGGGTCAGACTGTCTACCTGGCACACACCTGTGGGACAGGTATAGATAACAGGGCAAAGGCTTTAAAAATGAACTGACATTAAAACCAATCCCAGAGAAGGCAGGTAGGAACTTGCAGATTTAAGCCAATGGGTCACAGTAAAACAAAAATATCAACATTTTTTATAGGATGTAAACAAGACCCAGTCTCATAACATAATTTTTTTTTTTTTTTTTTTTAAAGATGACCAGTAAGGGGATCTTAACCCTTGACTTGGTGTTGTCAGTACCACGCTCAGCCAGTGAGCTAACCAGCCATCCCTATATGAGATCCAAACCCATGGCCTTAGTGTTATCAGCACCACACTCTCCTAAGTGAGCCACAGGCCAGCCCCATAACATAATATTTTAAATGTCCAAGATACAATACAAAATGACTTGGCATATGGAGAACCAGGAAAATACCAACTCTTATGGAAAAAGTACTTGACAGTACTGAGATGACACAGTTGTTGGAATTATCTGACAAAGACTTCAAGTCATACATTATAAAAACACTCCAAAAAGTAAGAGCAAACACTCTGGAAATAAATGGAAATATAGAAGTTTCAGTACAGAAATGAAAGATAAAAAGCAGAACCAAATGGAAATTTTAGAACTGAAAAATACAACAACAGAAATAAGAAAAAGTCACTAAATGGGCTCAATAGCAACATGGATCACAAAGAAAAGAACCTGAAAACTTAAGACACAGCAACAGAAATTACCCAATCTGAACAACATGATTCGAAAGATAAGCAGAGCCTCAGGATCCTGTGGGCTAGTACCCAAAGGGCTAATATTTATGTTACTGTATTAACAGAAGAAGAGGAAGAAAGAGTTAGGTGCAGAAAGATATTCAATAAAATTTGGCTGAAACCCCCAAATTTGGTGAAAACATGAACCTATAGATTCAAGAATCTCACAGAACCCCAAACAGAACAAACCTAAAGAAGTATAGGCCCAGATACATCAGGATCCCATCACTGAAAACTAACAATAAAGAAAAAATCTTGGCCACAGCCTGGAAAGAGCAGTGTATTACTTAGAAAGGAACAATGATTCAGATGACTACTGATTTCTCATCAGAAACAATGAAGGCCAGGGCTGGCCCGTGGCTCACTTGGAAGAGTGTGGTGCTGATAACACCAAGGCCATGGGTTCAGATCCCTATATAGGAATGGCTCGTTAGCTCACTTGGGAGAGCGTGGTACTGACAACACCAAGTCAAGGGTTAAGGTCCCTTACTGGTCATCTTAAAAAAAAAAAAAAGAAACAATGAAGGCCAAAAAGAAGTGGAATAATGTTTTTAAAGCACTGAAAGAAAATAACTGTCAACTGAGAAGAGCAAATCTAGTGAAAATATCCTTCAGGAATGAAGATAAAATAAAGACATCCTTAGATGAAGAAAAACAAAACTTGTTGTGAGCAGATCTGATCCAAAAAAAATTACTACAGAATGTCCTTCAGGCAGAAAGGAAAAAATACCAGGAGACCTGAAACATCAGAATGGTAAATATCTTGGTGAATAAAATATCCTTTCCTCTTGAATTCCCTAAAACATTTTTGACCATTGAAAGCAGAAATTACAACTGTCTGATGGTACAATGTATATAGACGTTACATATGACTGCAAAATAAAAGGGACAGGGCAAAGTGACCTAGATGGTGGTAGGGGTTCTATGTCCTTCTGGAAGTGTTAAAATGTTGATTCTAAGTAAATTGTGAAAAATGAAGTATGTATTTTGTAGTGCCTGAAACTACTAAAAAAAAACCCTACAAATACATATATAGTTAAAAAACTCAGTGGACAAGTTAAAATGGAATACTAAAAAATAACTCCAAAGAAGGCTGTAAGTGGAAAGCCTAGCAATGAAAAACCAATGGAAAAACAGTAAACAAGTAATAAAATGGTAGGATTAAATTCAAGCACAACAATAAGTATATTAAATGTAAATAATCTAAACATACCAATTAAATGACAGAGCTTGTCAGACTAGATTGAAAAAACATACATGATCCAGCTAAATACTGTCTATAAGAAACTCACCTCAATACAATTATATAGGTAGATTAGAAGCAAATGGGTAGAACAATATTTACCATGCAAATACCAATCAAAATGAATTAAAATGGCTGAAATAAATCAAACAAAATAAATTTTAAGAGTAAAGAGCACTATCAGCAGCATTACACGTTGATAAAAGGGTTAATTCCCCAAGAAGACATAACGATAATAAAAGTATATGTATCAAGCAACAGACTCAAAATGTAACACACTTTAATAAATTTTTAAAAATTGAAATAATACCAAGTATGTTTTCTGACTGTAATGGAATTAAACTAGAAATCAATAACAGAAAGATAACAGAAAAATCCCCAAACACTTGGAAAATAGACAACATACTTCTAAATAATCCATGAGTCAAGGAGAAAATCTTAAAAGAAATTTAAGTCAAGGAGAAAATCTTAAAAGATATTTGAGTCAAGGAGAAAATCTTAAAAGAAATTTAAGGATATCAAAATTTGGGGAATGTAGCTACAGCAATGATTAGAGGTAAATTTGTGTAATTAAATGCATATATTAGTACAGAGGAAAGGTCTTAAATCAATAATCTAAAGTCTCACCTTAAGAAATCAGAAAAAGAAAAAAATAAGCCAAAAGCAAGCAGAAGAAAACAATAAAGAACAGAAATCAGTGAAATTGAAAAGTGAAAAACAATAGAGAAAAATCAACAAATCCAAAAACTAGTTCTTTGAAAAAAGATCAATAAAACAGATAAACCTCTAAGCAAGAATAACAAAGAAAAAAGAAACAGAAGAGGACAGGAGGAGCATCGCTTCAGACTCTGTAGACATGGAAAGGTTAACAAGGGAATACCATGAAAACCTCCGTGCACATTAATTCAACAACTTCAATTAAATGGGCTCATTCATCAAGAACCATATCTACCAAACTCACCCAAGATGCAATAGAGGACCCATTTAGTCCTATAACCACTAAAGAAACTGAATTCATAGTTAAAATTCTATCATTCAAAAAAGAAACCCCCAGGACCAGGTGGTTTCACTGGTAAATTCTACTAAACACTTGAAGAAGAAATGACACCATTCTATACAATCTCTTCCAGAAAAAAGAAAAGGAGGGAACACTTCCCAACTCATTTTTTGATGCCAGCTTTACCTTGATACCCAAATCAGACAAAGAATGTATAAAAACATGAAACTACAGAATCAAATCCCTCATGAACATAGGTGCAAAAATTCTCAACAAAATGTTAGCAAATGAAATCCAGCACTACATAAAAAGAACCATGACCAAGTGGGGTTTGCTCTGGGATATAAGGCTCATTGGATGCTAGAAAATCAATCAGTGTGATCCACAATATTAACAGCCTAATGAAGGAAAACCAATTGATACAGAAAAAGCATTTAAAAATATTCAACATCAATTCATGACAAAAACTCTCAGCATATCATAAATAGAATGGACTCTACAAAGGCCTAGAGCATCATACTTGATGAAAGACTACATATTTTCCCCTTAAGATCAGAAATAAGACAATGACATTCACTCTCACTGCTCTTATTCCACACTGTACTGGAAATCCTAGTCACGGTGCTAAGGCA